TCCTACTCCACAATGCGACAAGACAGAGCACATGGAGCTGGCGGGGGCCTCATCACATACATACACGAGAGCATCTCATACATCGACACCACACAACAGACACGCAGAGACATAAATGCAGACCAACACCTTGAACTTCAATCACTTAAGAGTACAGACAGGCCACAACACCAACATCACACTCATAAACACCTACATTCCCCCACACAACTCTCCAGGATTACCTGCTAACTATCAATTCTCACTACAGGCCCTGGATACACAAAACAACATCATCCTGGGCGGTGACTTCAACGCCAAGCACCCAGGATGGTACAACAAGCAGATGACAGAGGAACAAACTTAGCCATACAACTTAACACACTCTATATATCCTCAACGACACAGAGCAACACACTCACATCCTTTACCAAGCAGACAGACAAGCCACCCCCCCAGACATAACATTCTGCTCTCCAAACCTAGCAAACACAACTACATGGAGCACAGTAACAGACACAAGTTCAGACCACCTACCTATAATCATCAAAACACAATCCAAAACAAAAACACTACCACGCAAAACACACAACAACTTCAAACGCGCACACTGGGAAGAATTCAAACATGAGACAGAAGTAAAATTTGAACACCTGAACCTACTCCCAATCATTAACATTGACCACACTGTTGCCCAATTCAACAAAATCATCCAAGAGGCTGACAAGAAACGCATACCAAAGGGCAACAGAAAACAACACAACCCTAACTTAACACCTGAGATAGCCAGCCTCATATGTCAACGCTACAATCTCAGACAAACACCCACCCCTCACTCACCAATCACTACTCAAGAAATCCAGGAACTAAACGCACAAATTCAGAACAAAATTACAGAGCAACAGCAACGGGCCTGGCTCAAGTTCCTGGCTACACTGGACCACAAATCCAACATCACACTTCTTTACAGAACAATACGCAGCTTACACAACTCAAACAGCAAACAAGAACACACCCACGCAGCAATCACCACCAACACAGACAACATCCCCACCAGACAAGCACAAGCAAACATCCTAATACAACACTACGCAAACATAAGTAGGTTACCCAAAAACAAAGAAGACAGACATCAGACGCAAACAACAATTTCCACTAGACCCAACAGCTACCCTAGCCACTACAAACAACACCAAAAGGGTCATACAACAAATTAAAAACTCTTCTGCTGCTGGGCCCGACAACATTACAAACATACACCTTAAAAACCTTGGCCCACATGGAATCATGACACTTACAAACATTGCCAACTTCTACTCACACTCCAAAATACCATACATCTGGAAAATTGGCAAAATAATCACACTTCTCAAACCTAACAAACCACCCACTGAGGCCACCTCATACAGACCAATCACACTCCTCTGTACACCATCAAAAGTCATAGAGCGCCTCATACTGAACACAGCCACTCCGCACATTACACTTTCTCCAACACAACATGGATTCAGATCTCACCACTTGACCACAACACTACTCACAAACCTCACACAAAGCATAAACGATGGCATCAACTCCCGCAAACCCGCACACAGAAGACTACTACTTACAATAGACATCAGTAAAGCTTTTGATGCCATCCCTCGCCTCCCTCTCACAAGCAAAATTTATAACACCACACTACACAACAACAACAAACGCTGGCTTGCCAATTACCTATCAGGCAGACAAGCATACGTACACTACTCAGGCAAGTCATCACTCATACCCAACAGAGTCCCATAGGTCTCTGTCCTATCACCCTCACTCTTCAATCTATACATGCACGACATACCCGAACCACCTCCAAACATCCACATTGCCTCCTATGCAGAGGACGTCACAATAACATCCATTCACCCATCCGCAGACATGTACGCAACAAGCATACATATGTCAAGCGCAAATATATCTCAATACTTTATCACAATGGATCACACTGAACAGACTCAAGGTTGCTCCTAGTAAATCCACAAACACATTAATGACCAGCCACACAAAGGAGCACCAATACAGACCAAACATCACATTAAACAACACCCCGATCCCACACACACACGAAACAAAAATACTAGGTGTCACTTACAACACCTACATGACATTCGGCCCTCACATCAACAACATAGTGAACAATGCAAACATCAGACTCAACTCACTTTGGGCCCTAGGCGGTACCAAATTTGGCAAAAACAAAGAAACACTAGCATCAACATACAAACAGTTCATCAGAACAGTGCTGACTTATGCCAGCCCCGCCTGGGTGCCCGCACTATCCAACACAAACATACAGAAACTCCAAACCGTATTTAGATCGTATATAAGTACTTATATCATTAGTCTGCTTATATCACAAGTTCACAAGGAATTTAAAAGCAAAGAAAACGCCAAGAAAATTCACCATATTGATATTGAAAACGTTTCGGAGTCCAGCTCCATCATCAGTTCGACTAAACTAAAAATGAATAAAATCACTTTAAAAGTCAAAATTCATCGGTAGCGTCACATGTTGTGAACTCGTTCGAACAACGTTCGATGGAGTTAGGCGCGCCGCTACTGCCAGTACATACATCACAAAGACTGCTCGTGATCTGAAAAGTAATTCAGATTGTTTTTTCACTTTCGAAACATAATTTAGTGATGAATTTTAGTGGAAATATGATGAATTTTAGTGGAAAAAAAAATTATTATGTAACTTTGCTATTTTTGAGGATTCATTATAATTATTCCCATATATTCTTAAGTTTGATTAGCGCGGTTTTGCTTAACACGGTAAAACTTGGGGATTTATTAACCGCGTTAATCGAGGGATTGCTGTACTACTACTACTAGTAGTATACTACTAGTAGGACTAGTAGTATACTACTAGTAGGACTAGTAGTATACTACTAGTAGTATAGTAGTAGTAGTGAATTTTCTTGGCGTTTTCTTTGCTTTTAAATTCCCTGGAAACTCCAAACACTACAAAACAAAGCACTCAGGAAAGACACAGGCTGCACACAAAGCACCCCCATAGAACACCTTCATGCAGAAACAAAAATACTTCCCACAAAAGCACACCTCGACATGAGAGGAACTCAATTCATAGCCGCAGCCATAAACAACACACAACACCTGTGCCACTACCTACGCAACCACCCACCTACACACAGACAAATAGTGCAAACCCCACACAGATACTACACAAACATACTAGATACAGTACCCCCACTCCAAGGCAACACCAGCACAAAAAACACACACAATTATGACACTTAGAGCGCTGGAGCTGGCCGGCAACGACAAAGCCGGCCAGCAAACTTTTTTCCAAGCAAAATTTTTTAATATATATATATATATTTGGCAAATATTTTTTTTACTACAGACCTTAGCAGAAGTAACTTTTCAAAATATTGTTTTCCACCATTTTTTTCAGGAATTTTTCAAAGCTAGTAAATGTAGTATTTTTTAACTTCCTTTATACTTCATAGATAGGAAAAATGTTGACGTTTATGCCACTAGGTATATATTTAGTTTGGCAATATTCAAATTAGTTTTGCTACTAAAACAGTCTTATGCCATGTTGGAGGACTGTCCCGAGTTACTATGCCCGTCCGGAGTAGCCCCGGTTGATGGTAGCAAACCAGAGATTTTTTGAAAACAGTTCCTATCTAATCTTGATGATATACTTTGATATATCATTCATTATCTTATATAATTTAATGCTAGTTGCCGAAAAGCAGAATAGAATTTTTTTTTAAACATCCTTCCACTATATTTTAGGGCTCTGTTAGAAGTTGTAAGTTTATATACCTAAATCTAAATAATCTCAAATAAAAATGATAGTACATCTGTTTTGTGCCACATCCACATATACTAGCTGAAGCTATCTAGCTTGTCTATGTCCTGGCATGGAATATATCTTTGCTGTAAACTGCAACTAGAGCTTTCCTGTCATTTTCAGAGCCACGAGATTCTAATTCTATCTAATTGTTAACAAACTTGTACTGTATGTGTATGATCGGGCTGCAAGATTCTCAATACATTGAAAATTTCTTTCTTTTGAGGCTTGATATTTCAGTTATTAGTAGGAAAATTTGAATCTTTTAAGCTTTATCCAATAATTCAGTTTGTAAATTGAAATGCAAAGTTGCATTACTGTTCCTATTTAACATAGATCAGTTAACATGATTTTAACTATATATTACAGAAATAAAATTTCAGCAATTCCTTGAGTCCAATTTGTGGATTTGCTTGTCTTTTAAAATGTAAATGCATTTTTTTATCATCAACAAGCAAATACCAAATGGCAATAAGGCACCTAATTGGAAGCAATGGTATAATAGATGGATTGGTATGCCTGTTAACAAACTCCGCAGCTTCCACACACTCACAGGGTTGGAATTTTCCTACATGTTAATGAAATCTTGCATATTCAAAGTTACAAATTATACATTTGGAATCTAGTGACGCATTTGTACTCTTTGGACAACAATTAGATTAGAGATAATTCATCCAGAGGAAACTTATGGTACTGAATATGTCTGGAAAGCTCAAGTTGTTGCTTGAAAGATGGATATTTTTCATGCTAGATTCCACATAATGCATAAAAGAATAAATGAATTTAAATTGAACTCTGCAGCACAATCTGGAGAACAAAATTCCTGTTGTGTTTGGAGTGCAAAGCAAGGATTTGAACTAATATATATCATGTTTTGAACTGACATAAAGTTCTCATAGAATTAGGGCAATTAGATGAGCAATTTATATAATGGTGCAAAATCTCAACCATCATCAATCTAACAATGCTAGAATTGACTGCAAATAATTAATTTTGAAGGATTTCATGTGCTGTAAGTATAACTTTGTTGGGCATGAATTGATATTATATTTCCATTTTATTATCACTCTTATTGATCATTCAGCGTAGCTATGAGGTTCCATGAGAAAGTTCTGTGAGTTGCAAGTGGTATGCAAATTGCTTCATTGAAATGCTTTAATTTTCAGGTTCTGATTATTGGTTAAGTAATATGGAGAACAAATCTGAAGCTAGCAAAAGAGTCAACAAAAGCCGGTCTGGTCGCCGAGCTGACATAGAAATATACAGACCTGGTGCACTGCGAAAGCGGCATCACAGACAGGAAAATCATAAAGATTCAAGAAACTCCAGAAATTCTCTGTCTCATCAGAAAAGTGATGGTTTTCAAGATGAAAATACCATTAAACAAGATAATGGAAATTCTTTTCTTGAAAATAAAGCTGCAAAAATTCCACAGTCCTGTTCCAATGATAAGAAGCAACCAGATGAAATTCCTGTTTCAGTTTCAAGAGACCGATGTGAAATTACGAATACAGAAAGGAAAGTATTGGATAAAGCTGATTCAATGCACTCACCTAAAATTGAATCATTTTCAGAACGGGTTAATCCTAAATTTGCTGGGGGACTGGATTCGGATAAGAAAATTTTGCTTTTTCCACGAGTAGCTGAGTTAAACCCAATTCAATTTTTGGATGAAAAATCCAACCATTTTGATGAAAGTACAAAGAAAAAAAATGATTTGGGCTTGGAGTTGAACTCTGAATTGTTTGAGAGTAGCAACTTGAACTTGAAAGAAACTGATTCTAATGTGTGTTATGAACATTCATTCTCTTGCAAGCCATTACTTGACATTGATAATCAAGATTGCCAGACTGCACTTTTAGAAAATTCAGTGAAATTGGAAAGAAATGAACAAAAATTTTTGTCTGATAAAATCCAGCTTCAAGTATTTAAGCACAGCTCTAGCAAAAGTGAAAAGGTGTCTCAAAGCAGTTTATCTGGTATTGATTCAATATTTCCATCAATGAAAATTTCCACACAAGATGAAAAAGAGAAAAATTATTCTGTTCAGATTACTCCTACAAACAATTCCCACTTGCCTTTATCTGAAGAAAAATCAGACGAAAGCAGTCAAAATAAGAATGCATTGAAGATCAACAACCAGGGACCAGAAGCACAATTAGGAAAGGAAAGTTTGAATACATCCAATAAACCAACAGTGTCAAGTAAATCTATAGGCAGCTTGCAAAGCTCTACTAATAGTGTGCCTCACCACAATACTGAGCCACGTCAGGGCAATAAAACTAATGTGGGACGTGGCAGAGCAAGGAGAGTCCTTGATAAAGATCCCTGTAACGAGTCTCGCAGCAGCGTGTTTAACCTTCAGAATCAGTCTCTTAATTGTATTGCTTCTCACTCGTCTAGTGAAAATGTTTATACCAAAGAGCTACAATTTCATGACGTGTCTGCAACTATGCAAGGTTCAACCAATTATATTAAGAAATTGCATACTAAGGATGAAAGCAAATCTGAAAATTTCAAGAACTTCTCTAATTTGGGGCAAAAGCCTGAATCTCATGTGGGTGTTGACTCAGCTAAATATGAATCACTGTGCGATGACAAGAAAAACTTTCAACAAGAGAAAGATGAAGAATATCATTTGGACTCTCAGGGAGAAAACAAAAATACGATCAACAAACCTTGTTCTCATCGATCTCCTTTTAGAAGTCCCTTACCATATGAGCAAAACTTGGCTCAACATCTAAATCGTTCTCAGCAAAATCAGCTGGATGGAAAGAACATTTGTGCCTCAAGTAGCTCCAAGGCTGATGGTAGACAAGTGATCTCAGTTCCTGGCAAAAAACTTTTGTCAAGTCATGACTTCCAAAACTTCAACCATCAAAGACAAGTAAATGTTGCTGTCATGGATGATAATACAGAACTGGAATTTCTTCGGAGTGCTGTTGATGCCGAGCTGTATGATGAACCCATAAGCACTGCAGGGTATGAAGAAATACTGCATAATGTCCAGAAAGGAGAGTGTGATATTCAGTATTATGTCAACAGCAATCAGATTCCTCGGGAGTTTCCCCGTATTATGGACATTAGAGTTTATCTTCAGAGCTGCTTCTTGAAGCTCTTCTCTGGGAACATTGCTCTCTGCCATCAGAAGAACATTGAAGTGCAGATGTGGAAGACCCTTTATTACAACATCATAGGTAAGATGCAACTTAGGTGTTTGCTAAATAATTATTCCAGGTGAATTTAGTTGAAATTATCTCTGAATTTTCATAGCCCAACCAATCATCATACTCTGGTTCAATATTTGTAGTTTTATTTTTTGTGCTTATACTTGTATGTTGATACAAGACTGAGGTTAGCTGGAAGTTAATGGCTTCTATTTTATCACTCCATTGGCTGCTTCAGTGTAACTCCTGCTGCTCCAAACCTAATATCTTGTGTGTCATTAGCTCAATCAATTATAATGAACTCTTGCATAAATCAGCACACTGCAAGCTGATACCATTTCATTGTTGTTGTTGACTAGGTACAATGTTTTTTTTATAAGTTTATGTGCTGGAGTGGTCATGCATGTCAAAGTAATTGTTAATTCCATTGATATGCCATCTGAGGTTTTAATGGAATCATACCGTCCCAAATAAATAATCTGCCTTTTCTTCGTTCCCATTTCAATAGCTTAATTACATGCGCAATCTTAGTCTGGAATTCGACTGGCATGTTACATAAGCCTTTGATATAAATGTTCAAATAGTAAAGGTTGTAATCTCTGAACCTACAAACCAGCCTGCTGAACTTTGTGTACATTGAATTCTTTGTGCAATTTGAGCTTTGACAGCAATAATGCACATGCTGTTCTTACTTTAGTGAGAGCTTTGATGGCAATAATGCACATGTTGTTCTTACTTTAGTGAGAGCTTTGATGGCAATAATGCACTTGTTGTTCTTAATTTATCTGTGACTGACAGAGAAGTTGCGGGAGTATGCGACTCACGTGCCTGAGCTGCAGCAGAAGAGCGTCTCCACGTTGCTCATGCTGGTCAAAGATGGACACAGTTATCTGCAGGTGTGTTCAGGATGCATCCTTGTGTATATATTCTGAAGATGGATCATGGAGCATTCAATTTCTTGGCTTAAAACATTGATGGTGCTGAATATAAATTTATAATAATGAGCATCAAGGTGACTAATGTATGTCTAATGACTTCATGGCTTGAATGTACTTATTACTGGCATCCACTTCATATTTGTCTCTGAATTGTTTGTTTCATTGCATTTAAATTATGCAGCATGAAGCAGTAGGTACTATGTAGATTGTTAGTCCTATTATTATAGAAGGTACTTTCCACCATTGTCATCACAGTTTGAAAGAATAGTTATTAAACAATAAATAATGATCCCATTTAACAAGTTACATAACTTCAGGTAAATTCTTGAACATTCTTAAAAAAGCAATAAATAGCCTGTCACAACATATGCAAATAACTGACGACCTGCTGAGCAGACGTTGATTCGAGCGCTGGAGAGTCGGCACGGCGTGAGCGTCGCTGCCGTGGCGCGCTGCGGTGACGGCGACGTGAGGCGAGGGCGCGCCAAGATGGCCTTGGGTGTGGCACAGCGCCTCCTGCTGGACCTGGGGGACCTGGCCCGCTATAGGCTGCAGTACTGCGGCCCTGGACACGCTGGTGCCAACAGCGTCCTGCCCTACAGGTGAGTGGTGTGTTACAGGCTGCAGTACTGCGGTCCTGGACACGCTGGTGTCCATACTCAGCGTCACTCAGGTAACTCTGAACGCCACTCAGGTAACTCTGAACGCCACTCAGGTAACTCTGAACGCCACTCAGGTAACTCTGAACGCCACTCAGGTAACTCTGCACAGGATTTATAAGGAAACACACTCAAGTCAGTTCCCCCTGTTAGCTCATAAGCAGTTCTCAGCAGCAGACGTTTCGATTATAATCTCTTAAGGCAAATAATTGTTATGAGCAGATCGAGTTTCTCACATTATGTTTAAGACAAGAAAATATATAATAAATAATGCCGAATGAATAATAATAAGGTTGGATCCTTTAAAGCAAGGGAGAACTTATGGTAATCTCAAATAACTGCACATTGATTCATCTGGTGCATGATATTGCCGCCTTGGCTGATGATTTCTATTGTGCTTACCACGTCTGTCTTGTGTAGACAGAACCTCCTGACGCCTGTCTTGTGTTGACAGAACCTCTTGACGCCTGTCTTGTGTAGACAGAACCTCCTGACGCCTGTCTTGTGTTGACAGAACCTCCTGACGCCTGTCTTGTGTTGACAGAACCTCTTGACGCCTGTCTTGTGTTGACAGAACCTCCTGACGCCTGTCTTGTGTTGACAGAAGCGGCCGCTGGATGTCTTCTATTTCTACGTGCGGTCGCTGATGGCCGCGAACGCCTTCGAGTCCGCCAGGGACTCCCTCACCTCCTTCTTTGAGGGCATCAGGACGAGGGTATGTCCACATGGCTCTTTTTAGCGCATCATTTATGGAAAAAAGGCGCTATTGTGCTCGTCATGTCCGTCCGTCTTTCCGTCCGTCCGTGACCTCAAGTTTTCGTCGACGAGATAATACGTTCTCTGTCACTCACTGCAGTGAGTAGTGAGTTATAATTTTTTCAATCAGCTGCCTGTATTTTTTATTTTTTTTTTGTCTAAATGTTTCATAGAAAACTGAACCAGATAGAAAAATAATATCTGATGCAGATAGCTAAACAAGCGTTTAAAATTTCTAGAGTATTTTAATGTAAAAATTACAACAAAGTAAAATGTAATGTAAAATTACAACAAAGAAAGTTGTTTGATATAATGCCAGGCAACAGAACGTAGCTCGGCATAGCGAGATCTTTCGATATGTTCCTGCTGACCGAAACGACAGCAAAACTTGAGCTCAGCCGGTGGAAGAGCTGTTCAAAACTACACGTAATCAGCAAATATTTTCAAATTCCTCTCTGCAGACATTTTTCCATTTATTGTCCACATACTAGACGGCCATAACTCCTGACACTTAGTCCATTATTCCTCAGTCCTCTCAACTGATTTTTCGATCCGTCTGTTCTGTCCCAAGTTCATCTTTCTGAGCGAGGGGATGGCGCTTATTTCTTTTCATGCCCCTTAACCCTCTGCCGCCTGACACGAGTAACCGGAGCAATATTAGTACCTAGTATATTAATATTACTAATATAATATGATAATATTGGTAATAATATTAGTAACCGGAGCAATATTGTCACGCGCCTACTTCCCAAAAAGGATTCGTTTTAGTGAGCGCAAAATGATGGTTGCCGCCACGTACAACTTTATAATATTACAACGTCCTGAGAAACAAACGTCCTCACTTTGCTACATTCAATAGTTCACGTATAATTGAGGTTGAAAGTTACCTATGTTCCCGGAGAGTGTCATACGGCGGTAAAGGGTTAAGTTGAAGGTTATGTTCCGGGAGAGTGACATACGGCGGTAGAGGGTTAAGTTGAAAGTTATGTTCCCGGAGAGTGACATACGGCGGTAGAGGGTTAAGTTGAAAGTTATGTTCCGGGAGAGTGACATACGGCGGTAGAGGGTTAAAAGATTCCAATGATGTCTTGCTTTAAGTTCATGCAGCGAGAAAGTAAAGGTCACGGGAAGCCCGCATTCTCCGCTTGGATTTGTCGAATAGCAACATTTTCAGTCGGAGATCTTTATCCCAGCAGTCATAAGTCATGTTTGCCGCTGTATTGATTGAATCTGGTCCTAAATTTATAATTTTTAATACATTTCCACTAAATGGAAGTTAAAATCGACGATAGAGATCTGTTCAAAAGAATCACCAAATTTTCGGATTATTGTGAACATTTTACACTTGTTATGCTTAAAGTTTAATTGTTGTCCGTGATTGCCTGACTACAAACTCCCGCAGCAGATAATAATATCATGTTCATGTATATAAAATCATATAATATCATATAATATAATATAATATCGTTCAGTTCACGGTGCTGAGGGAGGAGCTTGACTGTGGCGCGCCGTGGCCTCCCGCGTCAGCTGTGGCTACTGTGCGTGAGGGCGGCGTGCGGCGCGAGGTGTGGCATCGGCTAGACGGCTCCTGCGCCACAAAGCTGCGCGCCTGCGCCACAGAACCTGATCCTGTGGCCACACTGCTGAGTGGCGTGCCTGCTGACCAGGTGACTGTGTTGCAGCTGATGAAGCAGTACATGTGCTGTCTCTTATACACATCTAGATGTGTATAAGAGACAGGTGTGTTACAGGCTGCAGTACTGCGGTCCTGGACACGCTGGTGCCAACAGCGTCCTGCCCTACAGGTGAGNTATATGTTGCAGCTGATGAAGCAGTATATGTTGCAGCTGATGAAGCAGTATATGTTGCAGCTGATGAAGCAGTTCCTGACCTGCTACCTACACTGTCACGGGCTGCTGTTCTCGCGCGTGTCACTCGAGGAGTTCGAGGCGTGCAGCAGGCGCTGTCTGCTGCTCTTCGCTGCTCTGCTGCGCTGCCAGCCTCCCAAGCTCTCCTCCACTCACCTCCTGCAGATACTTGCACTCAACATATTCGCCGTGCACAGCACCCAGCTACACGGTCAGTCTTCAAATACTTTATTTTTTTTTTCTCACGGTACTATGTTTACATTTCCTTGGAACTAATTTTAAGGAAAGTAATTTCTTCGTCAAGACAGTCCGCTGAGGGAAGCGTGTGTCGATGAAGTGTTTGCCCCAACCTTTTAGTGCCTCAACCGTTCGTTCCTGCATATCAATCATCGGACAATTTTGTTTACTTATAATGTGTACATATATGAAGTCTTCAATTGGTTTAATTGAAGCGCTTGCTACGCACTTTAATTTATATAAAATGATTTAAAGAGAATGGCTAACTTGAAGGCTGATATCAAGTGCTGTACGAAATTCTAACGTAGAAAGGTTACGTGACATAGAACAATGACAGTCTCAACCTCAGAGCGCTAGCTTATTGATGACCTGAGGCCGCCTGATCGTCCGTATATATACTTCGCTGATTTTTTTGTGGTGGCGCAGTGATGCCTGTACGCAAAGAGATACGTAGCTTGGGGAGCGGGCTAAGGTAGTAGAGGAATAGAGTAATAAGTAGAGTAAGAGGAGGAAGTTGAGCCATAATAGAGAAATAATTACGAGAGACGAGAAAAAGATGTACAAAGGCAGAAACTGGAGTGCTTGATGGGCAACTAGTAGAGTATTGGGTAGGAGCCAGCAGGTGGCTCCTTTCACTTACTCAATTTATTCCTCTATTCCTTTACTACTCTTAGCTCGCTCCCCAAGCTTTCCCTTACGCGGATCCCGGCGCCGCAAAAAAGCAAGTGTTTACGGATAATTGAGCGACCTGAGGTAATCATTCGCTCCAATAAATGTGCTCCATGGAGTGCATTGAGTCTCCGCACCTGAGACCGAAGAGTGTGTCGGAGCGTCGCACCCTAGACGTGTGGGGGCGTGTAGGACGAGGCTGCTGTGACCGCTGAACTACAGCTGAGCGGGGAGGATGTTGCAGGAGAGCTTCAGCTGGAGGATGTGATGATGTTGGCTGCTAGAATGTGATGTTCGCAGCGGTGCGGGGCTGTCCCGCCTGGCCTTCCCGTTTAAGCCGGCGCCGGCTATCCCAACAAGGCAGTTAGCGGGTGACTTAAGGGCAGAGTCCTGGATAGTTAAAGACTAACAGTAACAGTCTTCTAGGTGCCGGAAATCGAGGGGGTATTGAACATGGACAGCATAGTTCAACCTGGGAGCGGTAATAATTCTCCGGAGGACGGTGAAATTCTTCAGTAAACTCTTCTCCAGTACTCCCGACCAAGCCCTGCAGAGTCGAGCATTGAAATGTTCGTTGGTGGCTTACGACGGCCGAAACGCGACAGTTACTCCCATTGCGAAGGTTTCGGAGGTTTAATCTAAGCATGGACCTCCTCACAGGGCTCATGACGACAAACTCGTGCATCCCAACTACTCGCTCTGCAAAAATAGGAAAAACGCCGTGCGTATTTCAAGTTCATCATCGAAGTTCATCGAAGAGGATTTTATTATACAAACTTGGGAAGAAGATATCCTATAGCGTCTCGCATAATTGACGTTCAATACCCTAATTTGATCTGTACCTATGCCAAAGTGAACTCAAGTGGTTGGATTTATTTCCTTGAGACTCCTCAAGATTTGGTTTGAAGATAAAACTTGCTTTTTTCTAGGCTTCATGTTCCCGAAGTGATCATTTCAAAGCTGGACAGATTTGGTGGGATCACTAATGAACCACCTCAGAATTTATCGTCTATCGCAAGACCCTGGAACAGATTTACAGCGAACAACCTTCATACCACCAGCCATCCTCAGTTACGTTATCTACTCAGCAGAAGTTACACGATGTTCTACCATCGTATCTTTGTAGGATGTTTTTGCAGACTCATGTAGCTACAAATATCTAGTACTCGTTATGTAGGTACAAATATCTAGTACTCGGTGTATAACATACTGTGTTGAAGCTTACGTATGCACCGACTATTTGGACCGAGATTAATTCTGCGACCAGGAGGCTACGTGGAGGCACGCGTCTCTTGACAATGCAAACCGAGTAAAGCGAAAATAAATATCTTATTAGAACAGAAATAATTTTTTAATAGCAGCAGAGTAGCACCTTCGCCCTGCAATCATCCGGTTTTCTGTAGAATAAATAATTTGAATGTTACCAAATAAGTATAATTGTTTCATTAAACCAACATATTCTGTGAAAATGTATTCCTGCGCTCATTACGAGGAGAATTTCAATGGAAATCAAAATAATAATGCTGTAATATCAAAATTGGGTGATTTAAACTGAAGATATACTTGCATTACCGGAATGTAAGGTAAGTTCGGAAGACATCCCTCACAGAGAGAAGATTACCCGTACAACTAGAACAAGGTATAGTTGTTGCGCCGCTAGAACAGCAGTCGCGAGATATTCGCTTGGCTTCTGGTCCTACAAAGTTGCTTTTTCCTTCATGATTTGCTATTAACACGTTGACTCCAATTGCTTCATCTTATACAATTATTTCGTTTTTTTTTGTACTATTTTGAAACAGGGTTGCTAGACGGTCTTTTTTCTGGACAAATTCCGCAATTTAGCTTTTTTAAATTGCGTTGGCCAGCTAAAGTTTATGATAGGTGTACTTCTTAATTAAATTTTTAAAACTGCAATAAGAAAAGAAATGAATTTTTTACTGAAACCTACAAATATACAAGTATATATTGAGTTTTAGGCTTTTTTTGGCTTTTTTTGTTCGTGGTCTTGGTCAGTTGTTAGGCCATCTGGCAACCCTGAATCATTTACCAATACGTCCTGGAGAAAAACATTTCTTGGTACGCATATGTACCACTTCGAAATCAACCTGTTAAGAAAGTGGCACTACATCAAGAGCGATCTATGAATAAGTTGCGCTGATGACTATGGCACTACTTCAGGAGCGATATTTGAATAAACCTCTATGGTACTTCATACTGTTGGTTTCGGTGAAGTAGACACTCTGGCCTGTTTACACGCCTTTTTAGCTTCGTGGCTGTACTTCATTTGGTTGCATGCATGATAGAAGACGCAGCCTAGATCGACCAATTATGGTTAGCTAGTGGTAGCACTCAGGATCAAAGAGAACTGGTCGGTGCGTCCAAAAATTGTCAAGCATGTTTCCGGAGCGTTTACGTATGGGGTAGTTATGACGCTGTCTGAAAGACCATTCCATGTGGACACGACCCTCTGAGATAAGAAGCTTGGTCTTACGTTTTTCTGCTGCGTTTATATGGCGAGCTTCAAGCTGTTACCTCGCGTGTCCCTGCTGCTGTGACGGCATATTTGCGGCCGGTACACATCGTTCGCTCTACGAACATCCATGAAGACATTTATCTTCTTTCCTCTCAGTCTGAGGTGCTACAAGCCTCACAGGCCCAAGACTACCAGATGCTCTGTGTCCCTGATGCATATTTATGCGCCTCCAGGGTAACAGGATTCGTTGACTAAGTTCGTGAAGTAATACACCATCAGTCTAGAGAACTTATCAGTATCTTGATACGAGGTGGTAATACTCGAGTGATACGATACAGGTAAAGCCAAGACGTCGACCGTTAGGTCGGAATAGCTCTAACGCGAGTTACATTGCGGCGTGCGTACTTTTTCAGCTTGTGCGGGGGCATTACTAAGGCTCCCAGCAAATTTATAGACTTTTTACCTCCGTCCACCGAATTCTTGTCTTCGTAACGCATATGCTGTGTAAACTGTTGACTCAGCGTCTGAGGGCAGCTCTCAGTGACACGCTAGACGCATACCTAGCTAACTAGGTCTGCGGCATGGTAAACACATGATTTGTATCCACAAACAGCTATCGGACATCTGGTTAAGGTTTGTCTTCAAGATAGGCGATCAGTTTGGTCGCTTATCTCTGGACTTCCTCTTGGTCGGCACAGATGGTGTTGTGTCGTGACTGCCATAAGTACGGTAGTGCCTGTACTCAATAGAACTGGCCGATCAAGTGACTTGAACAATTGAACGAATGTCTCACCCGGAGTAAAGAAGTCGAATAAGCGCCAGATGACACTTTAGATCATATTTCTCTTTCCAGCTACACGTGCTACATGACACTTGAAATCAAGGATTCTCTCAACCATTATTTCCAAGTCTCTCTCTCTCTCTTAGCGGCGTCACATATTCATTGCCTAAAGCGTGTCTACCTTTCTTGGTTAGGACACGGCTAACTCAAGAGACGCGTATGTATTAGACTGCAGAAAACTTGCGATGTCATTTCTTCTATGAAAATATCTCTGTGTTTCAGCTTGCGGTTGTTACTTGCTAATCATCAACATTGAAAATTACGATCCGGATTTCGTGTTTTTCTTGATTTGATGACGAACTTTCCACGAAAATGATCGCTTCGCTCACACCAATAAACCTCAAATTCCTGGAAATGTCACAATGTTCCGCTGTCTGCAGTGTTGTCGGTGTGCTGACCTGTCATGGTGGGTACACGGGCGCGTGGTTGAGGTCAATGTGACCTGCTGTGACAGAGCGCTACAGGTCTGGCCTGTTTAATATTGTCTCTGATCCATGTCATGTAGTACGACTGTCTCTGATCCATGTGTTGCATTAATCAAACACAAGCGCCTCGAGCGCTAACAGGGAGCTACAACCTCGGTTGGACGTTTTTTGTCCCTCAATAAATTGCTGATGTTCTAGATCTGGCCGAATTTCACTTCGAAAAATTGATCAACTATTAGTGTGGACTGTTTCCGCTCACATTCTGGTGGTTAACAGTGCAGTTCTTTACTGATAAACCTCTATACGTTCGTTGAATTTAAAAGATATAAAAAAAGAGCAAATTACATTACTTTTCTCCATTAGCGGCGACGCGTAGATTGCACGTAGGACACCTGAAGGTTTATTCATTTATTCATTAATTAGAAAATGGAGAACTGTTCGAATAAAAATCATGAGCGTGCAGTGTAACACTTTGACGTTAACCTGACGTGCTCTCAAAACCAAGTCCCTCAAGTTTGCTAGACTTATTATTGCGAAATTATCATCTCATTTATACCATCGCTCAT